GAATGCTCTTCCCTTCGGAGCGTCCCAGGGCTCCGCGAAGTTGTTTTTACCGTGGTGGAAGGTGAGGGGAGCGAAAGAACGACGGCTTCTTAAGTGACGGGTCCGAGGTGGAAATGATACGTCCGGAGTGGAAATGTTAGAGCCAGGGGTGGAAATCCTATAGCCGAGGGAGAAATCCTATAGCCGAGGGAGAAACCCTATAGCCGAGGGATAAATCCTATATCTGGAGGGGAGGAAATCATATATCCAGGAGAGAAATCCTATATTCAGGGAAGAAATCCTATATAAGGGGGAGGAAACCTGTAGCCAGGGGAGAAATCCTATATCCAGGGGGAGGAAATCCTGTATCTAGGAGAGAAATCTTATATTCAGGGCAGAAATCCTGTATAGAGGGTTGAGAACCTATATCCAGATTGGGGAAAGCTATATCCAGGGGAGAAATCCTATATCCACGGGTGAACACCTATATACGGAGGGGTAATATCCTATATCCAGGGGAGAAATCCTATATTTAGGGGATAAATCCTGTTATCAGGGGTGAAAACCTATATATGGGGGGGCATATCCTATATCCAGGAGAGAAACCCTATATCCAGGGGAGAAATCCTATATCCAGGGGGGGAAAAACATACATCCAGGGGGAGAAATCCTACATGCAGGGGAGAAATCCTATATACAAAGGGCGAAAACTTGTATCCAGGGGAGAAATCCTATATCCAGGAGGGGAAAAACCTGCATCCAGGGGGAGAAATCCTATATGCAGGGGAGAAATCTTATAGTCAGAGGGAGAAATCCTATATATGGGGGGGGAATCTTCTATTCAGGGAAGAAATCCTATAGCCAGGGGGATAAATCCTATATCCAGGGAAATAAATCCTATACCCAGGGTGGGCTTTGCCTCTCTGGAGGTGCTCGGGAGGGCAGATGGGCGTTTCTCTCCGTGCTGCCACTGAGCAGGAGGGGAAAAAAGGGGGAAAAAAGGGGGAAAAGGAGACAAAGGGGGAAAAGAGGAAAAAAAGGAGGAAAAAGGGGGGAAAAAAGGGAGAAAAGGGGAAAAAAAAAGTGATTTTCTGATGGATCAGGTCCGTGAGCTGGCTGGTGGCCGGGCAGCGAGGGGTGAGGCTGGACGGGTGCAGCCCCCCCAGTTTATCCCGATCCCACCTGGAGAGTAATTTAAGG